GTTTTGCCCATTTTCTTGCTGTTTGGGCATTATTGTTTTTATTTGTTTTGTTTTGGATTTTTTAAGTAAATGAGAGAAGTAACTACTTCTTTTTGGAGGAATGCTGAAGTGGATCAATGAGACTGATGTTGTCATTGTCTCTATCCCTTTCCCACTTTGGGATTGCTGTAAATGCCTGATCAAATTCTATCTGCTGCTCTGTTTCCCGTGTGTGTTTAGAACCACAGGATAGCCAATGAGGCTTCACACATCACTGTGTTTCTTTATCCTCTTTTAGAAGTATTGTGTTTTTTATCTGGTGAGTCTGTGAGAGTTTGACATTGGATGACTTTATAAAACATTCAACTAATTGGATTTGTTAAAATAAATAAATCAAACACTAATTGGAATGTGCCCTGCCATTATTTTTGCTTACTGAATTAGATATTATGGCGTGAAGTTCTTTTTATCATATTTGTGCACTTATTTAAACACCCCCCTGGCGCACACTTCTGCAAATTCAATTATATATTCAAAGGAGCCATTCAATTTATGCAAGGCTGGTTTACATATAATCCAGGGGCAAGTCTCAGTAACTGATGATAGGTCTGCTCAAGATTAATTAGCATCATTTAGATGAGCAGTGGCATTGTTACAAGCCCGCAGTGTAAAACAAGGGATATTTTATCCTTCTTATGTGAGCCATTATTTGCTTCAATATGACCCTTTTCAGGAAGGGAAAAGCTTTCTTGTTTAGATTTCATTTTGTGAAAAGGGTTTAACACTACCTGTGTTATCCAATGCCATCAAAGCCATCTCCATTCCTTTGTCAGTCCCACTGAGCAACTGCTCAATTTGTTTAATTTTTAGCCAAGCAGGAAAAAGGCTCCAAACATCCCAGTATCTTTTCCAAAAATCCTCATTCTTGCTAACAATTTATGAAGACCTAGCACCCCATTTTGGTGATTGTGTAAATGTTGTCATTTTCCTCAAGCTACTCTGTGATATGTGATTGAAATGATAACTTGCAGACCTGGTAACTAAATTCATTCAGTGGTCAGTCTTCCTTTACCTTCAACTTGAGGATTATTTTTTTCAAGGTTAATAAATAGCTCTCAGAAAGCAGTCGGATTTCAGCTATGGATGACTTTCTTTGGGGATGGATCTAACCTCTTCCTGTCTTTATGTTCCATCATATTTGGGTGTAGCCCATATAAAAGTATCTGCATAGGTGGGGTGTCTTTGGAAATACTGATTAAGCTTATGCTGATATTAGTGAAAACAACACTTCTGCTTGTTACTATTCCCACTTTAGTGAACTCCTAAAATCTCTTCAATTTTCTGAACCTGGCTGCCAGGAAGGGAAGCTGCAATGTCACATCTGCCAACTCCTGCAGAAAGCGGGGCCACCACTGATGTCCTTGCTTGGCAAATGTGAACACAAGTCACTGTGGCTATATGGATTTATCAAGGATTAGATATAAAGAAAGAATTTTTTTACTGTGAGGGTGAGGCCCTGGCACAGGGTGCCCAGAGCAGCTGGGGCTGCCCCTGGATCCCTGGCAGTGCCCAAGGCCAGGCTGGAGAGGGCTTGGAGCACCTTGGGACAGCAGAAGGTGTCCCTGCCATGGCAGGGGTAGCACTGGATGATCTTTCAGATCCCTTCCAACGCAAACCATTCTGTGACTGTTAAAGTAACCCCAAAATCTGTGATGTTCTGATATATTGTACTACTTTCCTGTCACTTTCTGAAGTTTCTTCTGTTCCATAATACAATATGCACTGCAACAGTGAAGAGAGGAGTTGTTGACTTTTTGGCTCACAAGTCTCAAGTCACAAGGCTCTGGCTCCCAGATGAGCCTTTATTTCATTTTTAATTCTGCTCTCAGTGGACACAGCAGAGCAAGAAACTGGTGGACACTGCCCCCCTCTTGGCACCCAGGATTCACACAGGCAATCTGTTCGTCTGAGCCCTTAAAATCAACTCCAGCTTTTTGTCCTTGTCCTCATTTCCTACAAATTCACCTCCACATTCTAATTCTGCTGCTTCTAGTAAATTAATCCTTCTGGCCTATTGCCCTGTCACTCTGTGTTTGGAGGTTTCTCCACTAACCTTTTCTTTCTCTGAAATGTCGGTGTCTTGCTGCTGCTGCTTTTAAGGCTCTCCATGGTTTATCCTTTCCTTTCCTATTCAGCTGTACTACAAGGTTAGCTTTGACTTTCAGGCAAGGCACTTTAAAGCTTCCTCAGGTGTTGTCTTGTATCAGCAGATGCTCCCAATTAATTTCCACAGTTCTCACTGTGTCCCTTTTTCAGCTCCTCACACTCCATCTTCCTCAGCGAGGATAAAACCACCTGTTTAGCTGATTATGCCAGGCTATTGACAATTACATTCCCACTTCAATGAGCTCTGCTGCCCCATATTTTTCTACTTATTGCTTGTTTTGCTTCTGGGACTTTGTAGCAGCTCCTGTGCAATTTTCTCTGTGTACAGGAGACCTTGCACAAGAGTGGGGCTGGAGCTGAGAATGTGTTTACAATTCCTCCACAGGAACAGCTCCCAGACAGCCCCATCCCTGAGTGCTGAGCAGGGGGGTGGGGATGGTTTGTGTCTGAATTAAAGGAAATCTGTCAAAATGAGAATGCCCCATGCAGGCTAAGAGCACAGGACTGGATTTTGCTTCTTGTTCTGCTCGCTGGGATAAAGATGATTTTCACTGCTCATTCCCACACAGTCCAGGCTGCCTGGATCTTCCCTTAGATTTTTTTAAATGAGCCTGTTCAATATTGTAATTTTCAACCTTTTCACCTAAATTAATTAAAAAAAAAATTAGGGAGACAGTCTAGGTGTAATCCTGCTTGTTTTGACAGCTGGGAAGGCTTCACAAATGCAATAAATTAAAGGCAAGGATTATTGAAATATTATAAAATCATGACAACTCAGAAATATTTGCAGAAGCTACTGAAACAGATAAGTTTTCAAGGGTCATAATATGTATTAACAGATCTATTTGTAATGAAAATATGTAATATATACAATTTTAATTTTTTTAGGGCAAGCTTGATCTCTTTAAACTTTTTTTCAGCAACAGAATATTTTGGGGTGCCAGGTACTCTATCCAACAAACCTTCCTATATTATACTTGACTAAAAATGCTTGGTGAGGCTTTGTAGAACCACTTAAAAACCAGTTGCAGTTGGAGTGCACAGAGAATCATATAACAGAATAAAGAATTGAGAACTATTAATGACATCAAATATATTTGTAATTTGTGAGGAGCTCCATATGAACTGAGATGAATTTTGGACTTGGGGTAATATGGGTGAAAATTAAAGAAGGCTTTAATGTCTTCAGTGTTGGGTAACCCTTTATTGCAGGGGAACCAAAGGTCAGTGATGTGCCCGGTGTTCATTATGTGAGTGCAGCTGTTGGAAGGAGGGAGGAGTCAGGAATATCTCTGTCCATGCAGCTTTGGTTGGTGTCAGTGGTGCCTTGTGCAGGCTGACCTAGAACAGAGACTAGACAGAGCTAAAGAATAAAGGAGGGATTTATTAAAAGGCCTCAATGGATCCACCTTGGGCAGCACAAGAGCCCAGCCAGGGCTGCACCCAGGATGAACCAAAATGGTCCCAAAATGCACGAGCGCTCACGGGGTCTCTCCCTGTGATCAGTTCTGCTCCATTTGCAGATTGGAGTTCATTGTCCCATTCCAGCTTTAGGTTATGAAGTCCCATCCTGCTTGTTTTTCTCTCTTCAGCCCATGTTGTTTGTGCTCTTGGGGCTGAGATTTGGATCATTTGTCCTTGGTCCCAGCTAGAGAAGGAATTGTTTTGTCTCCCTGCTCTGTGCAGAGAGCTCACCATCCCCTGATATGAAGCTCAGAAGTACACACTAAAGCAGCACAAACTCTGAAAAATATAAAAGCTAAACCTGAGGCATCATCAGGAAGCATTGGTGCTTGGCTGGCAGAGCAAGGGAGCGTTGTCCTGAGCACTGCATAGCCCTGGCGTGTTACATGTTCCCAGGTCCTTTGGAGTACTGGGATCTGCAGAGAACAGTGATCCTTTCTTCCTTAAGAGAAATCCAAATCTTTATAGGCACACCTTGGGCATGATTCAAGTCTAAACTGAGTTACCCAGATCCCCGATCCAGTGGATCCAGTAGTGAAATACTTTGGCAGGCTGAGTTGAGATCATAAGGGACACTAGAGTAGGAACATCCTAGGGAATAAACAGTCTCTGTTCTGTGTGACCCAAGTTTCAAAGATCTGCACTGAATACAGCATTTCATTCCACAGTTCCTGGATTTCCTTTGATTCACAGGTGTTCAGGCAGCTGCCAATGCATTTCTGAGAGTTAACTTCTTCCAAGTATTTCAGGAATTGCAGTAAAGGTCTTTCAGTCAGCAGTCTGGAAGGTGTGGATGCCAGTTGACACCTGCTGCTTCTCATTCTCTTGTTCAGAAAATACACGGCCATGCTCAAAAGTATTGATTTAAAAGACTTGGAGGAAGCTCTGTGTGTTCATAGACTACACGGAAATTTGTGTTGTTAAGTTTAGGAGATGGTTAAAGCCAGGTTAAATAAGGCTTAAAAAGCAAAAAGAAGTGAGGTCTTGTTGTAGGAACAGTGATGCTGTGCTCATTTCTCATTTGCATTCTCCTTTCCTTTCCTGATTTAAAAAAAAAAAAAATCTTGGCGGTTCATGCAAATATTCCTGCATGGGGGTATCCTGTGGAATTGTCCTTGAAAATAACAGGTTGAAATAAAGGGGATTGATCTTAGAAACAGTAGCGCAGAGGGAAGAAAACAAGGGCTTCCAGTGAATATAAAACATGGAAAGTACAAAGATATTTTTTGGACATAACCTTTGGAGCTGCATGAAAAACAATGTTCAGGAAATTAGTTTTATTTATTTTTATTTCCTGTGTAAGCTTGGGTACAAAATATCTAAGTAAATGGCCTACCACAAAGAGAGAGAGAAAATTAACCCAGAAATGTTTTCATTTTTCTTGGCTGTAGGTGGTTGTTCATTTGATGAGCACTACAGTAACTGTGGTTATAGCGTCGCCTTGGGAACAAATGGATTTACCTGGGAGCAGATCAACACCTGGGAAAAGCCAACAATGGATCCTGCTGTCCCAACTGGTGAGTGAGGAACCTCATCAACAGTGATGAGATGCAATTCTTGGAGAGAATCAGATGTTATTGCTGTGTATGTGTGTGCTGGCTCTGGGTACACACAGGAGCAGAGCAGGATTTTACTCTGCAATAAAATGTTAATTTTGTGTTCAAAATACTCTGGCAACGGAATTCATAGATGTGAGGTGGCTTTTTGCAATATTTGCCATTGGATATCCTTGAAGAATTGTTTCACATTTCTTATTCTTATTTTGTTTCTCATTTAGCAGAGAGGAAATGTTTTGGATATGAAACTCTAAGGTTCGGCCAGCTTTTGGCATGTTTCTGGATGAGAGAGTTATCTGGGGAGGTTCATGTTGGACAGGCCAGAAGTAAAGTCTTAAAATGTGGAAATATTGGACATTGCAGTTACCATTTAGCTCTGAACTCATGGTTTTAAATTCCAATATTGAGAAAGACAAGAAAGTTTTTAGAGAATTAGTTGTGGTAGCTAATGCTTAATTAGGCTGGAACTTGAGACAGGAGAATATTCATATGCAAGAAAAACATTTCCAGTGGTGAGAGTTACCAGAGTTTCTAATTTACCAATATGTACTGAGTATAGTGTAGATTTCCATGTGATAGTTGGAATATTCTTAGCAGAGCTCACAGTAGTGATAATTTCCAAGTTTTGTTTTCCATTGGAAGTTACCATTATGCTTTATATGGGAATGAATTCTCTAGCCTTAAATTGCTGTGAAATGCTTTGTTTACATTGAAAAAGGACTTGATTTAAGAAAACACTTTAAAGTTCACTGAAAATCCTACTTTGTCCATGTTGGTTGCCACCTAAAATAGCAATACAAGTCTCTTTCAGGCACACAGTGGCAAAAAGACTTCATCAGCCAGTGAAGACTTTGATTTCACTCCTAAAAAAAGAAATATTCATTCTGGCTAGTGCATTGCACTGTGAGAGCACAAGCTACATGGAAGAACAGAATATAATGTTGTTTAAGACTTATTCTTATGCCTGTAATTATTGGGATAAGAGACTTGTAATTGCTGGCTGCCTGGAAGGACACAGTGTAGAGCTGAGACAGCAATAGCTCCCTGCCACAGCCACTGACAGACAGCCCAGACCCCGTTCCTGGGTGCTTGTCAGTAAAAAACAGCTCAGGAGACATCAGCCTGGCTGGGCTTCCTCCAGCACTGAAAGCTGTTTAAGTTCTGTGGGTTTTAAATAATTGTATAATTGGAAATTGTTCAGAATAGGAGCCTTCAGAGTGTGTCACACCTAGTACTACTTGGTTTGGCTGTGGCATCCCCAAAGGAATTAACTGTGGAAGTTGCAGATTTTTGGTCCTGCCTGTAAGAGTGTATTTCTTGATTCTGAATGCTGTTGTGTTTTAAATGATGGCAATTTTATCGCTGGGGCTCCTCAGCTTCAGTGTTGTGTCCTTATTTTGTGTCCTTGGTAAAGACCAAGCTGGAGAGACATGGCAAATCTTTGACTTAGCTGATCCCAGAGAAGAGTAGGAGTTTTGATGCATTTGAGAATCTGGAACAAATGGGAAGGTTTATATGACTTCCACTGGATGAGTTCAATGCTTTGTTAACTCCAATGTTAAAGTAAACCCTTCCTGGCCTCCTTATGGAGGTATATTGTCATCTGAAATACCCTGGAACAATGGAGGGGTCAGCAGAAATCACAGAGCTGGAAAAGATCTCTGAGGTTATTGATTCCAACCATTATCCCATCCCCAAACCATGATCCCACATCTCTGTGTTTTGTGACCACATGTGCCACAACTCATTTTATGAATGCTTCCAGGGATGGTGACTCCATCACTTCCCTGGGCAGCTGTTCCAGTGCATAACAACCCTTTCAACAAAGAAATTTTTCCTAATATCCAATCTAAACAACAATAGACAAGCAGCAGCCTGGAACAGCATAATTAAAAAAAAAACCCAAAGCAACAAACCTACCCAAAAAACCCCAACCCCCAAAAATCCACTCCATATACACAAAAATATCCCCATGCCAACCCCAGGACATCACAGTGTAGTTTATCCAAATACTTGTGGTTTCCCCCTTTCCTTGATATTTGGTATAATGTAAAAAGATATCTAAAGATACTCCAGCAGCTGCAAATTTAATAAAGTTTAGACCTGAAACAAAAAATGCAGAAAACTTCATTGAAGTTAAAAGGCAAAGGTAAAGCAGCAATCAGGTGGGAATATGCTGATAAAGAAATACTGTGTAAGAAGGTTTGAAGGAGTATGAGGGGAATTGAGTCAGTTCCTGATGTGACTGATTGATGTCACAGGACTGTTCACACAGAATAAAGGACAAAATCCTTTGGTGGAAGATCATGGACCACAGCAAATGTGTGCAGAAGGGCCTGGTGTAACAAACTCCATGTTTTCAGGAGCTGTCCAAGTCATGCTAACCTTGGAGTAAATTACAGTTTTCAATCAGATCACCAGAAAGTTGGTGAGATTTTTGGAGTTATTATTGTGAGTCTGTTGCTGGCTAGAATTGTGATGTTTGTGTTGGTTACTCTTTAAAAAGCTGTTTGGTGGGAATAAAAGTTGTTTACTTAATATTCATGTAGAGGCAAAGCCAGGTGGATAAACTGAAGAACAGCATGTTCCACTCCTACAAGCAGGGACATCTTTAAAGCTGGAGTCCTAGAACATGTGATGATTGACTTTTCATTCCACTGAATTCCTCCACAGCAACTGAGAGAAGCAGGGTGTAAATCCACTGAGCTGCAGGGTGTAAGAGGTGGTAACAAAGAGGTGTTCATGGAATAAGCACCCAGAGGCACGACAGAGCACAGGGAGTGGTGGCAGGAGTGCCAGCAGGGCTCTGGGATGCAGTAATGCAAATTTTTATGTTGAGACCGTATTTTAAACCCTACCTTACTTTTATAGCTGGAAATAGGTTAAAATTCTACATTGTGGAAGTGGTGAAAACAAAAAGTGAGCAGGAATTAGGTTGGTTCAGTGACACTGAGTCAGCCTGCAGTGCTGGAAGCATGGCCAACCCCCAGCTGCTCAGCCCTTTCCTCTGGAAAACGTTTCGGCTTTCCTAAGTACCAGCAGATCCCTTTGAATTCAACCAAGCCACAGAACTGTGTCCTCCTGAATACTAATGATGCTGTCTAGCATTTTTTAAAGTCCTTTTCACTGCTAGATCTCAGAGTGCTCTTCAAAGGAGGTCAGTACCACGAATGAGAGCCTGAGTCCCCAGAGCTGTGTAATTCTCTGCTGACACACTGCTGCAAAGGTCTCTGCCCAGGGATGTCTTTCTGGTCTTTATTTTTTTAATTAAAATGTCAAAAAGAAAAAAACAAAAAGCCAATTAAACTGCTCCATTAGCAATGTAGAAGTTTGTAGGCAATTTGTTTTACTCCGTTGCCAGCAAATAAACTGTTTCCCATGAATTCTGTGATTAATTCCTTAGGGCTGGAAACAGTGTTAATTGGGGGATTAAGAACCAGATGTTTGTTGTTCTGAATAAATGTTTCAAAAATGTGGAACACATGAATCGTAGGTATCCCACCCCCAGATTTCAGTGGGACTTTGGTTCCACCTCCTTGCACAATAGCAGGAGTGATTATAACAAAATATTCTCTAACAGATGGGTGTTTACTTAAGCCTGAATACCCTCAGTGATGAGTATTCTACAGCTTTTGGGCTCTTTGTTCCCTTGTTTGAATTGTAGGGGTTCTCAAACCTTCATTTTCCTTTCTGTGGCTTCAACTCTTTATTTTATTTTTTTTCAATTTTTGAATAGGGAGAATAATCAGTTGTTGCTCTCTTATAACCTCTCTTATGTAGCAGTATGCAGTTAAATCTTTATTCTGCAGAACTAAATGTGACCCAGTCCTTTTAACCTTTCTTAATTGTCTTGTTGTCTTCCCTGTGCCTTCACTCATTATTTTCTCACCTTTTGGGGGATATTTGTCTGAAGTTGTGCTACCAAGCAAGGAGTCAGCACTCCGCATGGCAGTGCTGGAAGGCACAAGACCAACCCGAGCCCATCTGGGATCCTGTGAGAGTGGGACTTGAGCTCTTTTGTGGGTCTTTTTTGAGGCTGATGCTTGGTTAACACAACAAAGAAATGTGTTTAAATCAAATCAGGAAAAAGTATTGCTCCTATTCACCATGTCACCACTTTGCAGCATTCCAAGGAGCTGGGACCTGGCTGCTCTGGCAACAGTTGCAAGAATAATATTAATAATGAAAGTATTTAACATTTAAAGTTCAAAGTATTTTACTATCATTTGCTAATTAACTCCAACGGAGACTAAACCAGGGCTGACTAGACTGAAGTAATTACTTTAATTGTATTAAATATATTCTATCTGAATGCAAAGGCATCGTGTCTTGTGCACTTGTGCAGCTGCATTCTTTGCTGTTGGATTTTAATCCCACATTTACTTTGTGAAGTTTTCCTGTTCCAGCTTAGCAGATAAAAGATCAGCACACAGAGGCTGAATTTCTGGCCCCGTCTGCCTGACTGCTCACTTCCTTTCATCTCTGAAGCACTTAGAGCAAGTGCTACTTTGCTTTCACATAAATAAACAATAATTCTTCCAAAAGAAATGGAGTACGTGTGTGTATAAACCTAGATCTGCATCTCTGAGTGCTCCATACCACTGCTGTTTCTTGTTCCACTGTTTTCCAGCTGGGAATTGTCTAGGAGACAAAAGTGTGGGTATGAAGAATATATGGATTAGTAAAATGTTTGGAATAAATGATAATTTTCAGAATGACATCACCTGTAGGTTATCAAGCAAGGGCAAATGGCTTCACTTTGCATCCTGATTCCACAAACCACCATCTGCAAAGAGCAACAGGATCTGTTATTGTGGAAGGGTAATTTTGTGATAGAAATTGGTGCATTTTTATCTCCCATGGAGTCATTTAGGTTGGAAAAGCCCTCTAACATCATCGAGTCCATCCATTACCCCAGCACTGCCAAGGCCACCACTAAAGCATGGTCCCAAGCATTCCAT